TATTTTCAGATGGAGCAGCATTTACTACACAGAGCCGTAGTTCACTGAGAAGCTACGCAAACAGCTGTCATTATCGCGAAGGATTTCATAATTGTACGAATATATCGTCTGCGATTTTTATGTTTTTGTGCGTAGCTTGTCAGAGAACTGCGGCTCTGTGTAGTAAATGCTGCTCCATCTGAAAGCAGGTGATGGAGATTTACTACTAATCACAGAACTGTCAGTATAACAGCTTGTAAACAATGTCACGTAACGTCACATTTAACTCCGATTCCGAAAAAGCATATTTGGTGACCATAAACTCATTAGTCAGCTGGAAAAATGAACTCTCGGGAGGGGCATTTTTCTAAATATATGCACCATATAATTATGCTTGAATAAATCCGTCAAGTTTTTATAGCAGTTGCCATTTAAATGTTTATATAAAACAAAAGAATTGGAGTAGAAATATTAATTGCAATTGTAATTGCAACTTTATTATTATAAAAACTTCATTGAGTGTAATTTAAGTGGTTTTATACAAATCAGTTCATTTTTAACCTTCAATATTATAGTAATGTCGTACCAACTGACTCCCTGTATATTTTACAGCATTAGAAAATTTGGCATGTACTGTACCTGATATATATCCTAAATAATTGATATTGAATTGAATCGAATCGCAAGCTTGTTGAATGAGAATCGAATTGAATCGTGAAATTTGTGTCAAAACCCAGCCCTAATATTTTTATCGTCGTAATTTCACATTGAATCTCCAAATTAATGTAGAAACAACATAAAGATATTTTAAATGTTTAAAATATGCAGATTGATTCTTCATTGATATTAATGCCTGTACAGTGTTTTTCTCATGCATAGCTGGTGCTTGATTCATTGATGATGGAGTCAGGCGGGCGTTTTCACTTTTCGTGTTTTTTTAATTCGGGCGTGAGTGTGTTCATGGCAGTTGCTGTTAATCATGTGTTGTCAGATGAATAAGACGATCTCAGAAGATCACAGCAGGTCTTGTTTAATCACAGGTAGTTAAAGACTGAAGAATTTAGATAAATAAACTCTAAAATAAACTGCCTGTGAACGATGCATATTAAAGTAGTGTTCATAAGCAGCTCTGCTTTGTTTACAGCGGTAACCAAGGAAACACTGTATCATTGCTGTCCATAAGCAGCTCTGCTTTGTTTACAGCGGTAACCAAGGAAACACTGTATCATTGCTGTCAGTGGTTGCCTCTAATTTTAAATGGAAAGAGCACAGACAAAACCTTAGTTTGTTTATATGAAGAGATTTATTTTATTTGAGTAACTAATTTGATTTGGGATTTGTTTTAAAATTTAAATTTAGTTTTATTATTTTATTTCACAAAGAAACGTTCAGCAATAGCCTAATAAAAGGACACCTTTTCATTTACTGTATAATGTCTTCAATGTCATTTTGTTTAAAAAAAATCGTGAATCAAATCGAATTGTGAGTTGAGTGAATCGTTACATCCCTACTCTCTTGTTTCATATCTGCAGTAGAGGGCATGGCGTTAAAATATAGACAAACAAACAAGTAGTGCTGTCAAACGATTAATCACATCCAAGATAAAAGTTTTTGTTTACATAATATGTGTGTGTGTGCACAGCAGTACAAACAAGCAAACTCTAGTATGCAGTGTGTAGTGAACTAGTATTGCATTCTGTGCATAACCCCTCTGAATGTGTGTCTTCAGAATGAAAAGAGGCCAGAAGGGAGGTGATAATGCGGAGGAGGGCGGCGGGCCGGGACCCGGGGCCCCTGAGCTCTGTAAGCGGCTCCGGCAGGGCGACTCTGAGGACGGGGCGGTGGACTGGAGGCAGCTGCCCGAGGAGATCCTGCTGCAGATCTTCCAGTACCTGCCTCTGCTGGACCGGGCCTTCGCCTCGCAGGTGTGCCGCGGCTGGAACCAGACCTTCCACATGCCTGAGCTCTGGAGGTGCTTCGAGTTCGAGCTCAACCAGCCCGCCAGCTCCTACCTGAAGGCCACGCATCCGGACCTCATCAAGCAGATCATCAAGCGCCACTCCAACCACCTGCAGTACGTCAGCTTCAAGGTGAGACTGTCGCTCTGTCACTGCGGGGCGATCTAGAAGGTGTCTGAGGGGACGCGTGTTCCTGACGTGTGTGTGTGTGTGTGTGTGTGTGTGTGTGTTCAGGTGGACAGCAGCACTGAATCTGCAGAAGCGGCGTGTGACATCCTCTCTCAGCTGGTCAACTGCTCTCTGAAGACGCTCGGGCTGATCTCCACCGCACGACCCTCCTTCATGGAGCTGCCCAAAGTACGTCTCTCTCACACACACAGACACACACACACACACACACACACACACTCTCTCTCTCTCTCTCTCTATCTCTCTTTCACTCAATTTCAATTTTTCAATTTCAAGTGTGCTTTATTGGCATGACAAAAACTATACATTTGTATTGCCAAAGCAATTGCAGCTGGGCTGCTTACAAATAGTGCACATATGTATTAACAGAAAGAAAAAGAAGAATAATAATAGCAATAATAATATATAAAAAGTATTAAGCTTGTAGTGCAAAATTAATTACTTATGTAAGTATATAAACTAGAAATAAAAATAAAATAAGGG